TTTATCATTACAAGTGTGTATGCAATTCGGCCAAATATTAATCTTCCTTTAGGTCGACTAATACTCGCATGAATATACACAAACACTAACATTCAATATTTTTCATGAATTGCTCAATTGAAGAGAAGTTACTTTGGTGACTTCTTGACTCAATTTGCTAAAAAAAAATATTAAACTACCAAAAATTGAATACTTTATTTATATAACAAAACCAAATATTTAATATTTGCAAACTAATTCAAAAGATAATCACCTCATTAGAATTCCACTAAGGATGAACACCTCCCTAGAATCCCATTAGGGATGAACAACCTCCTTTGAACAAATCAAAGGATGAAAAGACCTCATTTTCCACCAATACATAAAGGATAAACATCTCCCTAAAATCACACTAGGGATGAAACAGAGATAGTTCTGAGTCTCTTTAACACACTGCTCTAAACCCTAAAAGGGATTAAAGAGTAATCACTCAAACTCTAAACAAGGAATTTAACATCAAATTTTCCTAAAAATAAGAACAGTCACACTGGTGGAAACATTCACCATTTACCTAAGATTCTCTGTGTTGGGAACTCCACAAACACCACCCCCAATTCCAAACTCATAAAATTAAATAAAAATAAAAGATTCAAAAAAGAACAGAGAACTCAATACAAGAAAGATTGAAATTTAAAACACTATTTATTTCTCAGTAAACCTTGAAACTTAAACTCGAAACAAAAGGGAAAAATGAAGAAGAAGAAGAATCCATAGTTTCCTCCACGGTTCCATCAACAAACGAATCAGATTGGGGATGTTACCCCCAAATTTAAATTTTAGGGTTAACAAAAATTGGAGATTATTCTCCACCTAGGGTTCATAAAAAATGGGTAATTTGAATTGTTTAAAACAAAATTAATCCTAATTTTCATAATTAGGGTTCTATAAATTAAACAGACATAAATCAAGTATGGGTAGCTCTGATACCAATTGTCGGAAAATTAATAATAATAATAATAATAATCTTGATTTTGATTCTAACGATCAAACATAAACGTAATCTCATACTGATAAACATGTTGTAAACTGAATGCGAAAGTGTACCTGAATTAGCCATAATGATGATGTCTTTGTAGAGCACTATATTGATCTTATGGTCTTCCACCTGAAGAGCACCTGTATTTCCCTCTTGATTTTCTCTCTTGATGGGGATAGAAAGAAAGGAACAGGAATGAAACTTAAGTTTTGTCTACGTGCTTCCAGAAGAGGACCATGACCCCTTAAAATAACCAGAATTAGGTTAATTACTTAAGTTTTAGTATTTCTAATTTGGTCCCTCATCAAATTAGAAATTGCTCTATGGTCTCTACACAATTTTATTTTCATGACATATGCCTTTAGCCAAACTTTTTAATTTAGTCAGATCACTTTATTATTTGGCTTAATAAATAATGGTCCTAACACATTTAAATTATGTATCATATATATACATGACCCAAAATTTGCCAACACAACATCCTTTCTTGCTGACTATTATCGTTTAGCAAATAATATTCTCTTATATCCTTGTGACATTGAAATAGTTTTCACAAATGTCAAATTTTGGATAAATATCATCGGTTAAGTAATATTTCATATTATGTTGGGTTTCATTCACAGTGTAGTGTACCACAGGTGCAAAACCTGACATAACTTCATTAAATACGTTAGATGCATTTAACACAGTAATATCATTATTTGACCTTGCAGTACCAAAAACTGCATGTCAAATCCACAAATTTTGTGATGCTACTGCTTTGAGAATGATTGTCGGGTTAGCATGATCACCTCGACAAAATTGATCTTTCCATGCAACTGGACAATTTTTCCATTCCCAATGTATGTTATCAATTGATCCTAACATACCTGGAAAGCTACATGTGACTCCCATTTATAGTAGTCAATCAATGTCTTCATTGTTAGACCTTCTTAAATACTCGTTTCCAAATACTGTACAAATGCTTGATACAAATCGTTGTAAGCATTCTACTGTAGTGCTTTCACCAATGCGAATATATTCATTCACACTATCAGCAGGTGAGTCATAAGCCAATATGCAAATAATAATAGTACACTTTTGTAAAAATGATAGACATTTTCTTCGTGTTGCATCTAACCATACTGGTGGAGATGACAATATCACTACTACAAAAAAGACTTTCCACGTCGGTTCTGGAAGGCCTTTAACGGCGGTTCCAGAACCGACGTGGAAAGTCTGATTTGAACTTCCAAAGTCGTTGAAAGTCCTAACTTTCAAATCAAATTTTTTTATTTATTTTCAACCCTCTATTTATCTAGAAATTCCCCCTCTCTTTTATATTATATTTTTTTGTCAACGTACAGAGATTCGAACTCAAGTCACCTTAGTGTTGGAGGCCGATACTCCAACCACTAAACTACTCAAATTTTTTTATAGTAACTTACAAATAAATTATATTTATGTACAAATAAATATATATCCGTGTAAATATATAAATACAAATATATTTATATATTTTTATATATTTATATATTTTGATATATTTATATAATTATATATTTATATGTTGGATGTGAGGGTACGCTCGAAGGTGAAAGTGTGTGTCGAGTAAGTTTTCAAAATTTGATGTCAAATTTGTGAGCAGATCTCTTTATATGAGTTTGTAATTTAATGACAAAATATAATATTTATAATTTATTTATATAATGATATAAAATAAATTTGGGAAACGCATCATTCGCTCTAGCGAAAAATACTAATTTTTGCTCAAACGAGGCTTGAGCGAGTGAATTTCCGTGAACTTTAACGTATTTTCACTCAAGCGAGAGTCAATCTCACTTTCACCCTCAAACGCGTCCTCACATCCAACATATAAATATATAAATATATAACTATATAAATATATATAAATCTATCAAAATATATAAATATATTTGTATTTATATATTCTATATTTATACATTTACACGAGATATATATTTATTTGTATATAAATATAATTTATATTTGTAAATTATTATAAAAAATTATAGTAGTTTAGTGGTTGGAGTATCAATTTTAAACTCTAAAATACTGGATTCGAATCCTGTCGGTGACAATTCTCTAACTTAAGTGAATTTTTTACTGAAAAAAATAAAAACACTTTCCGAAAATAAATATAAATAAATATATATTTACACGGATATATATTTATTTGTATATAAATATAATTTATTTATAAGTTATTATTAGAAAATTACAGTAGTTTAGTGGTTGAAGTATCAACTTTCAACTCTAAGATATTGGGTTCAAATCCTGTCGATGGCAATTCTCTAAGTTAAGTAAATTTTTGGTTGAAAAAAATAAAAACACTTTCCAGAAAATATATATAAATAAATATATATTTACACGGATATATATTTATTTGTATATAAATATAATTAATTTGTAAGTTATTATCAGAAAATTACAGTAGTTTAGTGGTTGGAGTATTAGTTTTCAACTGTAAAATACTGGGTTCGAATTACGTCAGTGACATTTTTTTAACTTAAGAGAATTTTGGGTAAAAACACATTCAACGTCGGTTCATCTAGAACCGATGTGGAAAGTGCTTTCTACGTCGGTTGACTAAAAACCGACGTAAAATGTGTCCAACATTCAACTTTCAACGTCGTTTTTTAACCACCCGACGTTGAAAGTGTATTTAACGTCGGCTCAGCTTTAACCGACGTTAAATGGCGACGTTAAAAGCATATTTTGTAGTAATGTATCCTTAAGCATACACAATCATCTTGTAATAAGTTTTTTGTTGCTCAAGAGATTAACAAATTAAGAGAACAACTTTTAGTATGTGAGTCATTAGTTCATCTTTTACATTCCAAATTTGACACATTTATTAATGTTTTCATTCCATATCTTCCTTCTGGACAACAAAACAACTCAAACCTCTTTTTTCAACATGTTTATAATAATCAAGAGCTAAATAAACCACATAATCAACAATAAGAATAACAAGATGGAAATTTTGTTAAATACAATAATTATGAAGTAGTTCAATTTATGCACTTTATAACATTATCTTATTTTGTTGGGTATTGAACTAGTTGAACATTATGTTAAAAGTGTTAACACATTATTAATGTATGTGTTGTTTTAATTTTTTTAATGTTTAATAGGTTTCATTATTTAAATTATAAAAACTCTAAAAAATATTAATATTTAGCATGTTTCATTATTTCAATTATAGAAACTAAATAAAAATATATTAAAAACAGGTTACAATATTAAATTATAATGAAATAATAATAAAAATAATAATAATCATTTTCCACCGAAATTTTTGTGAAAAATATCTTTGAGAAATTTTCCATGAACTTGTTAATGTGAATTTTCCCATGGATATAAGTCCGTACAAAAGTTTCCATGAATAAATCCGTGGAAGTTTTTCATAAATAAATCTATGAAAATTTTTTCCAATGAATATTTTCTAAAAAAATATCTTAAAGAATTTTTAAAATATCTTGTGAAAAACAGTTTCCTATGAACCTTTTAGCAACAAATTTTGATTGTGGAAAATTCATAGTTTCCGACGTATTTTAAAAATTATCACGAAATTTGTCAATAACAATTTTTTTTAGTGTCATAATATCAATAAATATAATTTTCATGTCAATAATTTTTGGGATTAATTCATGTTTCTGAATATGTGAAATAATAAATGTAATTTTGAAACATGTAAAAAAAATGTGAATGAACTAAAAAAAAAAATCTGTCAATTAACGATTTAAAAGTCCATATTGAAGAATAATGGGGCAATTGAAATGTAGCCTCTTTTCTCCTTGGCTCATTATATTATTATTCATTTGATTATCTTCATGCTGCATGCGTTCTGACAAAAATAGTCTTTTGCAACCTTTTGAGAGTAATTTCCTTCCCAGGTGTTCTATCAAAATCACGAAAAGATAGTTCATAAACTCGATATAAAATCGTAGTGTAGCATATAATAGTATAAGTATTGAGCTACTGCCCTTTTCTCTTGTAAGCCATGTGTTCTTCTTTGATGGACTCATCAGAACGTGAGTGTCGTCTCACAAGAAACTTTTCGTAAGTGTGTTTGATTGGTGATACCTCATCTTCTTCGGAAGAAGTTGAGGTTGTTGTCATTGTTGTCCAGTAGCTAGTTGAACCATTTCTGTAAAATTTAAGTCTAGATGCCATCATTTGTTATGGTGTTTCTTGAGTCGATGTTTTGGATGCATAGATATGCTTATAGGATTTCTAACAACTCTTCAATCCAATCTTGTTCGCTGTTTCATCTTCCATTGTTTTTACAGGTTGAACACAAATAGCTCCTTCTACTTGATTAGTTGTTTTGATTGGTTGATATAAGTCTGTTAGTGGCAAATCGAGAAAAATGATCAAAAATGAAGGAAAGAAAAGTGACTCGATAAGATAAACAAAAATTCATTCGATGTCTAATTAGAAGTACGTAGCATATAGCATCGAGAAGCACAATCGAGAATTGAGTGAATGATAACTAAATACCTGTTGTCGAATAAAAAACTAAGTCATATGATGCCAAAGTTAAAATGAACCAAAAGTAATGTAAAGTTCTCGATAAAATCGAAATCAAGGGGAAAGCTAATATACGTGGATATTGAAACCCTGGCCAAACCGTGAAGAGAAGAATAAGTCAAACACACGTATAGAGAGCAGTTTCGAAATCTTGGAGGAAGTCGAAGATCGTGAGAACGTGGGAAACCGTAGAAGATAAACTGCCATATGCACGTAGAACGTGGTAGCAGTCTGGTTAACTGCTACTGGAAAGCTTGAGCGATGCCCTATAAATAGAGCAAAGAAGGACGGAACAGGGGGAGCAAAAATTGGCAGAGAACAGAATCAGTAGTGAAAAGTCTACCGGAGAAACGACGAACACCATGAAGCTGGCAATCTGGATTTCCTTGCTCACTGAGTACATTTACCGCTTTCTGTATTTTCCTTGGTAATTTACTTTGATGCAACTCAAATTCAGCAAGTTTAAGTTTCTGTCTTTTCGATTCCTTGTCATTTCAATTTAATGAAAGTTTAAGTTTCTGTATTTACGATTTCCTGTCATTTACTTTTCTTGCAATCTCGATTTCTTGTCATTTATATTTGCGCTGTTTTCGATTTCCTGTCATTTACAATTAATGCAAATTTGGGGTTTTCGCACTTTACATTTCCTTGCAATTTAATAGTCTGTTTCTCGATTCGATATTTTTACTGTGTTTGGTATTTCAAATATAAAAATAGCGTTTTCAATTCTCATACACGTTTTCGATTGAAAGTCAGACTGCTAGCCTAAGTAAAAAGAACTTACGTGGGAGGATTTTGATTAGGACCAAATCACCTTTAGAATCGAAATCGATCGAAATTCCACCAGAAACAAATTGGCGCGCCAGGTAGGGGACGCTTTCTGTGTTGAGAAACACAAAATTGGTTAGTTCGAGAGTGTATGAGATTAAGGAGTGGGAGAGTTATGAGTCAGAGTTCATCAAGTAACCAGAGTAACACTGAGGGATTAAATGGGTCACATCCACCAAATACTGGGGGGCAAAGTCATAATGGGAATACACCTGTAGTATCGACAACTGTAAGTATGTCGATACCCGTGAGTAATGAACCAAATTCAGGCACTTTAGCAAATACCCAAGTAGGATCTAGCACGGTGGCACTAAACAGTATGTCAACTATGGGAAACCCTATAACAACAAATGTTGGGCCGTATATGAGTATAAGACCACCTGGATTTTCACTTAACATGAATGGAGTTGGTACTTCTTCGATGCAACGAAATTCGAGATATAACTTAGGAACATTCCAAACCCTAGGTATGCCACAGAATTTTGGAGTATCCCCAAACCTAGGAACATCTCAAAATTTAGTAATTCCCCAGAACTCAGGGAATGTGCAGAATGTAGGAACGCAGCAAATACCTCCAAATCTAGATCATAGAGGAAACGTAGATCATGGGAGATATGCGTTCGATAGGGATTATCATCGATCTAATTTTGATACTATCGAAAATACTGGTACTGGAATATCTAGTAACTCCTTAGGAATACTTAGACAACAAATGGATGAAAGTAATTTTGATATGGTAAATATGTTATCACAACAGTTGACTACAGTTCTAAATCCATTAGTTCAAAACACTACCGCTAGTTTTGAGATATTAGCAGACCAAATGTCACGAATTGGGGATGCATTGGCTGTACCTCGACAAACGAGAGTAGAAAATCATGCCAATCAGAATACTAACATCAATCCCCCGTATCTATTGAGGAGAAATAGAAACAATGATCAACATCAGCATATGGGAAATGAGTACCAACACGTGAGGAATGACATTTATGGGAATTTGAACGAAGGATTTCAAAATATACACAATCAGAATAACATGTTAGGACAAAGGATGAATTTACAAGGGATGAAATTTAGACCACCCAATCAGACATATTTTGTATCTCCTTTTCCGAATGCAATTCTCGAGACAGAATTGCCTCGAGGATATAAAGTACCCAAATTCACTAAATTTGCAGGAGAAGTTGGTGAATCAACTATCGAGCATGTAGCTCGATATCAGATCGAATGTGGAGATCTCGCGACGAGTGAAGAATTAAAAATGAAATATTTCCCTAGTTCTTTGACTAAAAATGCTTTTACTTGGTTTACTTCGTTGCCACCCAATTCGATATATAATTGGCTGCAACTGGAAAGAAATTTCCATGAGCAATTCTTTAGAGGAGAAACTCAAGTAAGTCTCATTGACTTGATGAATATAAAAAGATACAATCATGAAAGCATAGATGATTATTTTAATCGATTTAGACAAATGAAATCGAGATGCTTTACTCAAATTCCCGAATATGAATTAGTCAGAATAGCCTCTGCAAGCTTAGAATTTTCGATTAGGAAAAAGTTAGTCAATTTACCATCACTACAAGAAAAACATCAAATAGTGACCGAAAATTCGGTCACTAAATGTACAAAATCGGTTACTAATTAAAATAGTGACCGAAATAGTGACCAACTGGAATCGGTCACTATTTCCTTGGTCACTGATTTTTTATTATATCTATTATTTATTTTCCCTATCTCTTAATTATATTTTTTAGAAGTTTAACTTATTATGAGGTGGTTTATTGTCATTGTCAGGATTCGAACCCGGTACCTTAGAGTTGGAGGTCGAAACTCCAACCACCGAGCTACTAGGATCTTTTAATAATAACTTACAAATAAATTATATTTATATACAAATAAATGTATATCCGTACAAATATATAAATATAAAATCTATAAATAAAAATATATTTATATATTTTAATATATATTTAAATATTGATATATTTATATATTGATATATTTATATCTTTATATATTTTTACATATATTTATATTTTTATATATTTATATCTTCATATTTATATATAAAGATATTAGTTTTCTATACAAATAATATTATAATATAGTATATTATACTATTAGTATAGTATACAAATAATATATTAGTATAGTATAGTATACAAATTATTAATTTTGTAATTTATATACAATGAAAATAATATAATGGTATATTAGTATAGTATAGTATATTTGTATTCTAATTTTTAATTAAATTAAAATTATGCTAATAATGTATATTAATATATGAGGGGATAATATTGATATATTGATATATTTGTGTATATATATATATATATATATATATATATATATATATATATATATATATATATATTATATATATTGATATATTTATATATTGATATATTTATATATTAATATATTTATATATTGATATATTTATATATTTATATTTTTATATATTTATATTTTGATATATTTATATTTTGATATATTTATATATTTATTTATATCCTTATACATTTATATCTTTATATATTTATATATTTGAAAAAAAAATATTAAATTTTAAAAATAATATTATATTTTTAAAAATAAATATTAGAAAAAGATTTAAAAATATATATAAATTATATTTACATTTACAAAATATTAAAGATATATGTTTATATCTTTACATATTTTTATATATATTTATATGTTTATATTTTTACATATCTTTACATATCTTTACTAATAGCGGTTGCACCATCGCTCGAGCGAGATTAGAGTCGCTCAAGCGAAATACAACCCGAGAATGCCACTTTTGTGCAGGGGGCATTTCGCTCGAGCGAGAAGATTTTCGCTCAAGCTAAATACATTTTAGATAGCGGTTAGAAGGGGAACCGCTCTTAAAAGCTCACTTAGATAGCGGTTAAACTGAAATCGCTATTATATGGTTTCAATTATGATCGTTCAGAATGCAGTTATGACCGATCATAATTAAAACTTACTGTTAGATATTGTTTAGATATTATTTAATATTGTTAAGATATTGTTAGATATTAACCATAATATCAAACAATATCTTCTGTTTATTCTGTTACTTTCAGTTACTCTTTTAGTTGTATCTCTCTACTATAAATAGACTACCCTATGTGTGATTTATACACAAGGGAGATTAATCCCAAACTCTATTTCTTCTATATTCAACATGGTATCTAGAGCTTAAGGTTATTTTGAATTTTTTTTCCGCCTTAGACCACTATTGAAGTCGCCACCACCGCCGCTATCGTTGTCGGTTATTTGGTAGTGTGAAAGTGCATGTCTAGGAAAGTTCTGACAAGGAAAGACTTGGTATTTAAGCGTGTCCATTAGTGACCCACCTCTCTTTCCTGGGAACTTACCTGGTGTACTGGTTCACGCCGCTGTCACTATCGCCTTCGCCCTTTATGAGTTCTTCCGCTCCTTTTAGTACTTCCAATTCTGTCAGTACTGCATCTGATCCTTCCATCTACACTAACTATGTTAATGTGCACTTATCCATTGACAAGTTAACTGGCCCTAATTATGCCACATGGTCATCAGACGTCAGATTATGGCTTAAGAGTCAGAAGTATCTTGATCATCTTGCCCCGAAAGCACCTACTCTCACTCCTGGTGAGGAAGACCGTTGGGACACCATTGATGCTCAATTATGCGTGGTTCTCAAGGGTACCCTTGATCCTTCGTTAAAACAAATTTTTCGTTCCTACGAAACATGTGCAAAAATCTGGGAACATGCCAAGTTATTATACACCAATGATACTCAACGTCTCTATGATGTCTGTTCT